AATCTGCAGATTTCCGCGGTCAAAGAATCAAGGCGACCTAGAACTATTTTGGGCGTCTATTGTCCTCGATGGGGAAAAGGTCTACTATAGACTTAGTCGATAAAAAATAGAGACAAATCTTTCTCTAAAAAAACATTTTCTTCAAAGCAGGAGGTGATATATATGTATTTCCTTTGTGCGCCTTTTAATATTTTTCTTCTTATCGTTATTTCCTTTTTTATTCTGAATACACTGTTTCCTCAATAATGGAATATTTGATGACTTTGGTACGCGTGTTACATTTTATATATTTAACATATTTTTCTCTTATTTGTTAAATTTTTTATTCATAAATAATCTCAAAACAATTCCTTTTATCCAAATATGCTTTGTTATCTTCTAGTGGTGGCAAACTATCGATGTTTTTTTTTTCAAAACTATCGAGTATTTTCACTATCGAAATTAACTTTACGTTCTCTGATAAAACCACGTAAGAGCAAGGCCCTTTAATTTGACATCTCATGAAAATCGGACCAACGATAAAGATTTGATGCCTTGAACAATCGTGGCGTTAAATATTTAATGCGTCAAATCTGCGAACTCAATTACGAAGTTTTATATCAATAAAAGAAGAGAAGACGTAAATCATTTCCGTCTTGAAATAAATGTCCCGAGCGACGAAAAAATATCATAATCCCATATAATTATTATGAGAAAACCTCAATCATTTTCGTCTTGAAATAAACGTCTCGCAAAACGAAAAATATAAAGTCCCATATAATTATTATGAGAAAGCGAAAATAATATACATCTTAAAGTAATATTCCCGCGAATCGAAATCACTTTTCCATTGTTCAGTAATAATTATAGAGCGATATTTAATTTTATTTATGGTCTCTGTTTTTCAGCATAAAAACCTTTCAAAACACACTACAAATTAAATTAATTGGGAGATTAAATGGAAAATTGTATTAATTTTGGAAAAAGAGAGAATACGAGCAAAAATTTAAAAGAAAAATATGAATGTCGGCAAAGGTATTTGAGGCAAGTATAACGGTTTAATTTATTTTTTGGGAAAATGGCAACTACAGGAGTTACTAAAGGTCAAAGGTCTAACCCCAAATTTTTTTTAATCCAAATATTTCGATATAAATTCCTATTATTTCATAATATATAAATTTTATAAATATCTTGTAGTTTTAGCAAAAATGGTATATTTAAACAAATTCAAAGAACTTTTTAAACTTATTTAATTTGTTATATTTAAAAATTCTACGTAGATTATGAATCAATCTTTTATTTTATAGACAAATCCTTGCTTCACAAAATCCATCAAAAATATCACCCTGATCCTTTCTGCGTAAAGGGCTTTCGTCCACGCTCCAAAAAACAATTGTGATCGGTCCGACTCCGTTCACAGTATTTTTGTGTGTATTGCATGCGTTTGGTATTTGTTTTTGTTTTAATTTATTGCAAAAACTACAATATATTTGTATATACTTATGTATGTATATAACATTTTTGTGGAATCGTGGACTAAACTTTATCTGGTTTATATGTATATAGAAATTAGCCAATGACCTTTGGAATAGGTGTGCAATACACAGTTCCAAGCTGATTCACAACGCTGCAGCACATCCCAGTAACAAAAAGTATGGATAGCATTAATGGAAGGGTAATCGAGCTGGAAAGGACTTTTAACCCATGATTGCCGTTGACGGAATATTAAAGAGCAAATAATTGTTTTCAGTATATTTCATGGAAACGTTAGAAATTAAAACCTCGATATAAACGACTTAATTTACAAAGGCACTAATCTGCAAACTTTTTACTTTACAGGAGAAACTAAAAACATTATAAAAAGAAATTTAAAGCTGCATATAGGCCTTTTATAAGGAGGAATAACACCGTTGTTTTTGGTACAAAGACTGAAGTTTTTTAAGCTATAATTTTATATATCTTACCAGAATCTGTGAAAAAACCAGTTTCGAAAAAGTGTTGGCTAGGGCCTTTGTGAATTGAGGTAACGATAAAAATATTAAAAATTAGTAAACACTTTGTCCTTGTGAGATACCATGGTGGAATTATATGTGAGTTACCATGGTAGAATTACACCAGGTGATAACGCGAGAAAGCTGTTTTATTACTTCACGTGTTTATTGCGCCAATGCCAGATACAGGCTGCGCAATTGTCAGATACAGACAATCGCTGTTTTATTACTTCACCTGTTTATTGCGCCAATATCAGATACGGGCAATCACACAAATAAATTTTTTTATTATTTGGATTAAGCTGTCTTTACATGAGGCAATTTTTTGACAATTTACACGAGCGCTTTTCTTAAGCCATGTTGAATCGCCTCCTGTAACTATGGAGCTATTGAAGTACATGAGAGATATGTACACCATTAAAGTACTTACATAAATTGCTACTGGGAAAGAGTACCAAATTTAGAAAGCTCTTTAAAGGTGAAGCAAAGAGAAAAGAGATTTTGCACCCTGTTCTCAACAACTGATAACGCACAACCCAACTGATAGCCAGGGCAATTTCCAAAAATTTTAAATAAATCCAAATTACTTATAAAAAAAATTGAGTCGAGGGTTCGTATATGAGCCAAGCAAAGTCGAC